AAAAAAAATAAATATATCTATCTATCTATCTATCTATCTATATATAAAATCTTTGACCCAAGAAAGAATTGATTTATTTTTTTTCCTTTCTTTCTTTTTTTTCCAATCTTGTTGCTTTGGCACTTTTGGAGTTACCATAGTAATGACCAGAAACACATCAGCAGAATTAGAACAAGGAAACTGCAGCATAAAAAGCCCAGCCCTTCTTTGTCCAGCTAAGTAGATCTTCTAAGGGTCTTGTTGTGTGGGACACTGACTATGTGTTAAATCTGTGCAGTATTAAAGTTAGAATGTGTCTTGAGCAGCTGCATGATAATGTTTACTATAATCTCTAACATCCACAGTTTGCTGATTCCAGGTTCCAGCCCCAGCACTGTGCCAGATTCTTAAACTGGTTCCAGTGTGGTGCCAGACCTGGGACTGACTTCAGTTGACTGGATTGATGTCACTGGACCCCTTTCAGTGAGGAGAAGAAGCAGGATTGGGCTCCAGGCAGACTGTGGTGCTGTGATCCCATTAGGGAACATTGATTATAAAGGAGAGTGCTGGATTGCAAACCAGCCCCTCTACTTGCTGCTGTCATGTACAACTTGAATGGGTGCGAGAGAGGGGGGTGGGGGGCAGGAACGACTGCAAAATGCTTGTGTTATCTTTGTGGAGCGGTCTGACAATAGCTGAACATATATTATTTAATACAGTCTGGAGATGCTCCTTCTGTGAACAGTTGTAATTTTGCTACAATCCAAGCAGACTTAGCATTTGTTTTACTGCTTGAATGCACAGACACTTAAGTTTTAAGTGCAGTTAACGTGTCCTAAGTGTAACATGCGACATGGCCCTAAGGTGATAAATGCGGGGGTGGAGGCAGAAGGTCGGACAGATTTTAGGTTTTCCTGGGCTCCAAGCAATATGATGCTATTCTTGCATTACTTCCTAGCTCTTCTACTCTGCCAGTGGTGCTGGCATAATCCACCCATTTACCATCTTTTCTCACCAACATGCCCATATTATTTTGTGTGAATGAAATGACTTTCCTAGACTGGTGCAATAATCTGCTACACATCCTTGCTCTACCTCCCTCCTGCCCCAGTACCTGCAGGAATTCAACCAGTTCAAAACATATAGCACTTGTGGACCCTTTATAGCACCCAAGTATCATTTTCCAAAGCATTCAAGTCCCAAGAGAAAAACTACTTATTTTTTAGTGATACTAAGGCTTCACCTATAAAGTTTTGCCAGCCTACCTGTGTTGGCTACAGGTGAATAAAGGTTACATCCCCTGCTACTGCAGCTATGCTAGCAAATGTCCTGCTGTGGTTGCCGCTAGGCTGACAGAGAAGGGCTTCTCCTAATGTGGCTTGTATTGTTCAGGGAGATAGCATAACCACACTGGCCAAAACTTGCTTTCTGTTAGCATATGCTGCATTTCACCAGTGGGCTCTGCTGATGTAGCTTTGCAGAGGCTGTATAGTTAGACAAGTCCTTCAGTTCCTATGTAACTAAGGCACTTTTGAAAAGGCTACCATGGCTGCTCTAATGCCACCTTTCTGTCTAGATTATAAAATCCCTTTGGATCAGGAAGTGGGGTTTTGCATGTATTGCCATAACACCTCACCTAGCCCAGTGGGACCTTAGTTCTGACTCATGCAATACAGATGTTGAGGAATAACGGCTAGTTTCAGTTCAAGTTCTGGGCAATGGATCTGTTGCGGTTTTATTCTAACAGGCTTACTCAAGCCAAGTTACTGCACTATAGAGCAGCCAAGCTTCCCATCCAATTATTCAGATAGTTGTCTTTAAAATTCAAAAGAGCTTAGATGTTAGAAACCTGCTGTGCCTTCTAAGTTACCTCAGAAGGTTATTGTACAAATTAATTCAATACTGACAACATAAAAACTCTGGGGACAAGATGATATAGGTCATATATGACAGAAACTACAGCTCTGGTCATTTTATTTTTATCTTTGTAAGCTACCCAGTATGGGGGAATGTAGGTAAAATGATATAGCCTGGTAACAGAGCCCATAAGAAGAGATTACGTAATGTGTGCACAGTTTAATGTATGGACGGTGGGCATGGTGATGAATGGATGGTGGAATGATTTTTTTTGTTAGCTGTCACTCAACAAGTTTTACTTTTTGACGTCAGATTGATGGCATGACAAGGGTTTGTGGTATTATTTTTTCAGGCTGACATCTTGAGTGCCTGGAATATTAAACTGAAACAGAAGTATTTGTTTGGTTCCCTGGCTGTCAAAACAATACAAGCCTTTGCTGCCCCTCTCTACTATCAAAGCAAAATACTTTGGAGTAGATTTTGACTCCTGGAAACATATTAATCTATTTTTGGGACCAACTAGTTATGTTCTCATGAGATATATATATATTGGTTAGGAAGTTAGAGGCCAACATTTTGCACAGGGATTGGTGATTGTGGGTACCTCAAATGCTGGCTGCCCAACAAAAAATACTAGAGAGGAGCCCAGTTTAGAGAATGGTCTGACTATCTGTTCCCAGTATGTTCTGAAACAGTTCATAGAGGATACCTAAGACAACAGTGTCTAGTGGCTTTTGAAAATCCTGGTCACACTGGGTGACTTTCTGTGACCTCCTGGATCATAGTCCCTTAGTTAGCATTGTGGCTGGAGGTCTGTGTGAATCTATTCTGATTTGTTCCCTTATGTAGGAGTGCTTGTACACATGATGAAAATTGGCCGTTTTGCAGTTTAATGGTGTCATGCTGTACACATGCAGGGGGTTTTTACAATTTAAATGAGGTTTTTACCTTGCAAACTAAACCACATCATCCACATGTAGTTTAGTTTGCCACATAGCTATTATTAATGTTGCAGCCTTTTGACAGTTCACGCCCTGCCAACCTCTTGCTGCGGGAGAGGCGGGCTTAAGGCAGCAGTGGCAAGGGGCCAATCCTTTTTCTCCCCCCCAACCTCTCTCAGAGCCTGCCTGTCTCTCCCAAGGCCAGGGGGCAAGTCCCCAGTGGGCCCTGGCCTGCAGGGGCCCTCATCCTTCCCTCTGCCACGGCTGCCTGGGCAGGTGCTGCCCAGCACCCACCCGCTAGCAGCCCACCTGCGGAACTCCGAGGGGTGCCACCACCATGGAAGAAAGGACTAGGGCCCCCTGCAGCTCAGGGGCTGCTTACCCCCCAGCAGTGGGCGATGTGAGCAGGCTCTGCAAAAAAAAAAAAAAGGATCAGGTCCCTTGCTGTAACAGTAATGGAAGCCTCTAAATTGAAATGATGGGTTTTAATCATCACAATTAAAAACGCACTGGTTCAATTTAGGGGGCTAAACCCCTGTCATGTGTACAAACACACTAGGTGTCTGTAGTAGAGAGCCTGGGTTCCTTTAAGATAAAAGCGGCGGGCCAGGGGCCTGGTGCCTGAAAGGGGCACATTGCTACAGTAACACCCATGAGGCTTGAGGTATGGTGTAGGGGAGGTTTTGGAGCCATGCAATTAGCCCCTAAGACTTTGGGTGTTCTGCAGTACACAGTTGACCAGAGAGGCCCAGTTAGGGACCTGGGACTGGAGAGATTGCAGACCTGTGAATGAGCAGAGAACCAGTATGGTCCAGGGTAGGAGACATCAATCCTACACCAGCTTGGGAGGTAAGAGATGGTGGACCAAGATTGGAATAGTTCTGAGTGGCAGAAGGGTGTTCATAAGTAACCTTCTTGAGTGGGTTACCTGGTGGACTATCAAAGATGAACTGAGAAAGGAAACAGAGGGCACTACATTCATAGAACTGTACAGAGACTCTGCAGGGAGACCCAGTGGCCAAGGTAGGGTCAAGTGTCAAGATGAAGAGACCACCCAGAAAATAGTAGAGGTCATAGACTACTTGGACCTCAGAGGGAGGACTTTCAACTGGAGGAGAAGTTGGGATGATCAGGAACAGTGGCGATGTACAGGGGATGCACGTACACCCCCTGAGAGCGCTGATGCACCCCCTGACAGCCAGCTGGCACTGCTGGCACAATCAGCTGTGAGGTGACCCCCTCCTCCGGTCAGCAAGATCGGCGGTGGGGTACCTCCCCCCGACCCTGGTTGCTGACTGGCCACCGATGGCACCAGTCGCCCATAATTGGGAAGTCCCCAGGGGCAGTGGGATTAGAGATGGGTGGTCCTGGAGGCCTTGGCATCACCAGAACACACCAGCAGTGTGAAGATGTATAACCTGGGATCCAATGTTAGAAGGGTTCATCAATAAGGGATGAGTAAACCTGTGCTTGCTGAACTGGGATGAAGTTTAGGGGGAACCAGGTAAGACTGAGCACCCCACACCTTCCTTGCTGTAACTAAGGGAGGGAGGTGTGTAACAGAGAGCCTGGGGCTCCCTGTTCCTTTAAGATTAAATCAGCCAGGTAGCACTGCAGACTAGGCAGGGACAGCAGCTGCCAGTTGCCAGGGCAACAGGGAAATGAGGCAATCAGTAGGCAGACTGCTGACTGGAAGTGGGCAGGGCTCTGGGAGCATATAAGCTTGGGCTGGCAAGCATAGGTGGAGGAAGAAAAAATTATTTGGGGGAGCTGAGCCCCC